CAGGAGGGTTGGACTAGATGACCCACAGAGGTCCCTTCCAACCCCTACTATTCTGTGATTCTGTGATTCTGTGAAATATTCAGAGGTTTGATGGTCTCCAGGTAGAACAGGCATTTAACTCATTCGTACTTAGAACCTCTTGTAAGGACTGGGTTACATTTTGCTAGGTATTAGGTACAACAGAAAGTAGAAAGAATAAGACTGTATTCTTTAAAAAGCATAACTTCTATATTGGCAACAGCAACGCTGGAAGAAAGAATTCTGCATCATCACTATGATACATACTGAAAATATTCTTTCTCAAAGAGATTTAATAACAGACAGATAGGAAGATTACAGGTCAGATCTCAGAAAAATCTTTGGAACTGAAGCTGGGAATTTGTATTCTTTGTAAATCTGAGGGATGTAGACTGGGGGGACAGAGGGAAGAGGTCAGGACATGGGAGTTCAGAAGAGAAGCTTCTTATGACTGCAGTAGCATTGTTAGGGGGGATTTCTAGTCAGGACTTGAATCCTAGCTTTTTATGCCATCATATCACAATTTGGAGTTTCAGGATACAATAAAACACTGAAAGAGGCAACATCCATTGACTTACACCGGTTGAAGACCTTGCCTAGAGTTCTTGCAACACCCTCAACTTTTACGCTTCGATGGGCTTAGCTTCAGAAGTTGACCGCAAAAACAGTTAATACAGGTAAAAAAAAAGTTTGGGTGCTATGAAATAATGAAACAAGTTCATTTCAAGTTAAGCAAGCATATCTTATGTCTGAAGCCTTCTCAGTGTTGTACTGCTTAAGTTAATCAGTCAAAGAAAGTCAATCCAGTTAAGGTGCAAAACCGAACCTGCATTAAAGTGGTAGACTTTCTTCAGCAAAATCCTCTTCTGCAACAAATACCCCTCTCCAATATCAGCAAAGAGAACATGGCAATTCAAGATGTCTTCTGCTAGATGAAGGGAAAGCTGAGGACAAGAATATATGCTGGTAACAGGTGTTCACTTGCAGGTTGGATATTTGAGGATTTGGGTGGGGTACATTTTTTTTTTTTTCTTTTTTTTTTTTCTTTGTTGTTGTTGTTTATAAGTTATGCCATTAGGATGTTAAAGGGTAACCCTATGGAAACACTCTTGATGAGCCTCTGCTTCTTAAGAGCAATAAAGTCCATTCCTGATGTGTCAAAGGCTTCCGACAGTATAGTGCTGCCTTTTATTGTATTTTTGTTTCTTCTTCACTATGGAGAGTGAAGCTTCTACAATGAGGCTGCATCTGGTAAGCAGCCTGTGAAGAGTGATATCTCCAGGCATTGCTGAGAAGACTCAGTGCTGCATAATCACTATCCCGATATTTGCTTTGTACACAAAATAATACACGGGTTTGGAAGCAGCCAAAAATTACCATCATTGATACATGTGCTGAGGTAAATCATCTTGTGTTTCACATGCTAATTTAAAAAAAAAAAATCTATTTTCCTTAAGAAAATCACAGCATGTCATAACCCATCTCTGTCAAAGTATCTGAATTACAGTACACGCATAGAAACCTTTGCTGTGTTTACGCAGCAGCTTAATCTGCTCTTCAAATCTAGAAAGTGCCTTGCACTCTTCATATGCTTTATCCAACAGACAGACACTTCCATCTCTCTCTTGAAATGCAAGCACCATGCAAATGTTGTACCAACATTTGGGATCACAGCCTTGGCATACCTCGTGCTGCTGTGTCAATGTAGAAAATAACCAGAACTGCAGTGCTGAGCAGAAATGCCTGCTACCCCTCCTGAAAATGCCAGTCCATACAAGAAAATAAGCAGGTACATTTAATGGACAGAGAATTGAACAGATTTAATCCACAATGAGAGGTATGGTTTAAACACATACAGAGTAAACCTAAAAACTGAAGTGGAACTAGCAGACTGCCTGTCATGTTCATGGGTTTGTGTAGCTAACGTGTTAACATCGGCTGTGTTTTTTTGATTCCAGTGCATTTAAAACCACAATTTTAATACAAATATCTGGAAGTTCTTTGAAATCCATGCAATTTTCCCACTTAATTTATACTCAAAATACGAAATTCCACACAGCAGTTCTCAGCATTCCTATCTCTAGGCATTTATTGTGAAGTCACTTCTTCATTTATATAGTCATTTACCTTGATATAATGACTTTAATACTGAACTTTAACTGTCTCTACCTATTAGCTAGCATATTTAGTGTCATTTTATAACTATGTCTCAATATCAACAAGGAATCTGAGGATGACTCATTTAATAATCTATATTCATGACAGTGCATCAAAGGTGAGTGACAGGAAAAAGAAGACTTTTCATTCCTCACCATCTGTTCCCACACTGACTCCCCAGTGTATGTTCCGAGCATATGCTTCCTCACCTCTTGAAGTCAAATAAATCCTAATTAATTTGATTTTCTACAGATTAACATTGCAGAACTGCTAAAGCAGTTCATGAAACCATAGGGAAGATGAAACCAGGTAGCTGGAGTACAGCGGTGTAATCACATTCTAGAGCCTGCCTCTCTTCCCACACCTTGGAAAGGTTACAGCTGCCCCCATATCCAGATCCTGCCCCCCAAAAACAACCACATGCAATTTCCAAGGTACAGCTTTACTCTAGTGACATTTTGTCAGCTCATAAGTGGTGAAGTCACTTGGTGCTGCACTTTTATTAGACTCGGTCCTGTAAATCATCACTGTAAATTTAATAACCTTTTCTTCATTAAGACCTAGGGTACATGACTACAGTACTACACCTGCTTCAGAAACATCAGAGGCACTGGAATCACTCTTCAGCAGGCTGAGAGCCTTGCGAAGTGAAAAATCCCTAAGTTGGCCGTCTTTCCTCTGCTGGAGCACAGAGTTCTCTCAGTGACCTTTCTGCGATGGAAATCCCCTGGATTCTCACTAGTAGAAAGGCACACAAAATTGGTTCCCGTCCAAAAGGACTTTAATCCTTCCAACACATACAGAAAACTTAACTATCTCCCAGTGGCCTATTCTGATTTTAAAGGGACAATTTTCTAAAAAAGAAACTCATGGGCTTATAGCACGTAAGAGCAACCAGCAAACATTTCCTTCGTTTATCAGAGCAACACACTTAAAAAAGTTACTGTCACTGCAATATTGTCACTGTTTCTTTCTGATGCCACAGAGAAGTCAGGTCGCTGAAGTGAGAAGACTATTGAAAAAACACTCTATCAATAAACTCAGGAAAACGAGCATGAACGGTTTAATCACCATGTGCAGTGCACCACGCTTTTCTTTCATGAATGCCTGTAGTCAGATATTGATGTTTGTCAGCTCAACATCAGCTGCTTCTAACCACATCATTTATCTCATGGAGTGGTTTGGTGGCAAGATGCTTCACAAAAGGAAGGTATATGCAGTTGCACAGCATTTCAAAGCATCAGTCTGGCCCACTCTTCCAGATAATAACAACCTGCCACATACTTACAAACAACAGCTACTAGAAACAACACAGCAGCACTCTGCTTTCAGCTTCAAAATGGGGAGATGCAGTTGCTACCAGTGCACGAGTAGGACTGCTAACACAGGCAGCTGCAGTAGGGTTTGGGAGGTCATAACACATCAGTGATCCCAATGGGAATCCACACACAGAAACAAACTCTTCACAAAGCTCTTCTGCAAGCAGAGCCTTGTTTTTCACAGGCACTTTTAACAAAGCCAGGAGCCTTATGCTTGCTTCTTCAAGAACAAAAGCCCTTGAGGTAGCTGAAGATGCATCAAGGCAAGCACTCAGGGTCAAGGAGCATGCACATCTTTACTAATGAGGATGAAGGCTATGTGAAAGGAAGGGCCTGGCAGATACTTTCTCCAAAACAGCTTCTGCCTGCAAACCGTTCCAAGGGGAAAACTCCTTCCTCTACAGCAAGCATCCCTGAACTCCGTGTAGATACAGGATATCTACTTAAAAGTCTTTCACAGTAGTAGGATACAATTCCCTCTACGAACAAGTGGAGTTCCTGTTATGGAGGGTTGTTTGCTTTGTTTTTGTTTTTTTATATTATACTCAAAGCTCTACACTAGCTCTTGTCGCTCAAGTACTCCCATCCAGACCTCACTCCATGAGATAAAATAGTGCCTGCACATCTTACCTCTTCCAGTATGCCAGAGATTAGAGCAATGAGTAGTGTGGGGGCCCAGGACCTCTTTTGTCTTTCCTAATTCATGCCCTTGAATCACACGACAATTATCTGTCTGGCCCTGCTTTTGCTTCCGGAGGATGCATATCGAAGTTGCACTAGTGGTTTTATGGCAGTCTAATTATATACTTGAAAAGCTTCCCATGAAAGAGTACCGACATATTCAGTTAACCACTTCAGGCCATGTAAAATACCATAGAGCAGCAAATCTGTGCTGTGTTAGCTTTCGTTGGGTGAGAGATACAAGCACGACACACCCAGGGAGCAGGCAGGCAGGAGACTGGGAAGTAGCTGACAGAGCAACAGATCATCTGTGAGACAAATCTTGCCCTGTTTATGACTTCTTCATGACTCCTCTTCCTGATACACCTCCACTTGCTCATCACAGGGCAAAATTTCCTATCATTTTTCTTATCTGCTAATAAACATGCACACCTCATCTCCCTGCAGTCTAAATAACATTTCCTAGTAACACAATACAGTTCAAAAAGAAATCAGCGGTTGTTACTTCATCTCACGCATGAACTCCAGCAAAAACATGCATGAAGATTAGGGCAAGAGTTGATACTGATATTCTGAAAGAGACTGTGATAATACCATTGGGATGCCATTTGCTTTTAATTTTTCTTCTGAGATTCAAAAGGATATTTCTCACTTAGAAGGTAAGACATGCCATCCAAAATGATGAATTCCCATTCTAAATTTGAAAAAATGAACCAAAATAATTCCTGGTCTATGGTGCGTTCAAAGCACTTCAGAAAGTGCTCTGCAAATTTCTATCCACAAACAAGAAGAAAGGAGAGACGAAAAATAGCCAAATACATTATACATCAAAGAAGAGCTGTAAATACAGACATCTCTCAGGCCTTGCACCTGCTACAGGCCAACAATCTACCAACATTAACGTCAACTTTCTTGTTAAGAGAATACTTCTGGTTGAGGGGTTAAACCTGGACCAGAGCTCATCCCTTACACTGCACATGAGACACGACTTGGGAAGCACCAGGGCAGAACAGAGGCACTTCCACCAGCTGCTGGGAGATGGTGACTCAGGAGTCTATGCAGACAGCACAGAAGCTTCTTCTTTTCTAATCTTCTTTTATAGCCTTTAGAAAAGTTATAGTTCTGCTCCCCTCAGCTCAAACCGGGGATGCCTGTGGGCACCAATACCATAATCTGGACTGGAACAGATTTATTATTCAAAGATGAGAACAAACAGAAAGTAAGATAAAGGGAAAGTACTAAATCTCTCCACTGGCAGCCAAAATATCAGCACAAGAGATCCTCAGTCAAACAAACAAAACAGAAAAAGTCCAATCAAATGCTGCAACTAATGAGGTTTTTGCATTTGGTGAAGCAGTCACAGGAAATCTAAAGAGAGATAATCGCACACCTTCAGCTATGCTCTCCACTCATTTCTGACAGCAGTTGCAACACAGCACGCTCTACAATTCCCTGGCTGAAAGAAATTGTCTGTCATTACAGGAGGGTTCCAGGACTCCAGGACCCTGAAAATTAGGGTAGATTGTTGTAAGGTCTCAGTCACATTATGGATTAGCAGGGAGTCCCGCTTTGCATTTCAAAAGGTATGTTTGCTCAGACACTGTGCCATAAACCTACCCTTGGTAAGTTTAGTTCTTTACCTGACTTTCTTCATGGCTTTTTCCATTTTCTAGTTTTGCAATGGGCTTAGGTTTTCTTAGCTTTAAGTTGCCCATTTCAGGCTTTAGAGCGTTGTCAATTACAGTCTGCTGCTTGTGCTGCTGAGTATCTTGCAAAGGCAGCTGCCTTTCCTCTAAGACAGCAGCATTGTCTGGACAATTTTCTTTGTTATCATCATCCCTGTAAAAAATATAAAATTGAAATGCATCAGGCAGGACTTCAGACACCTGTCAAAACATTATGAAGGCAGAACATCAACACGTTCTTAGCTATTCATGGCATTTTAATTTTACCAAGTTGAGTAGTCTACAAACCAAACACTGCATATGTTAGTAAAATGAATCTGGGAGGCTACTGTTTATTGTTGAATCACAAGATAAACTACTGTTAGTATTATTACACATTCAATTGTGGAGCCATTTAAATAAGACTAGTTTTAGAGGCACTCTTTGGCTTCAGCCCTGTAGTTCATATCCCTCAAATAATATCTGAAACTTTTTCATGCAGAAGACCTCTCCCTGTCCGATGATTCACTCTAGGTTATAACCTCACAAAAATGTCATCACATAGAATAATTCCTTGCTATAGTCACTATTACCTTCTGACAGTCCCTAGTTTTGAGGGATTTTGGACAAAGTAAGGGAGGTAGGCATACAAAGTAGTGTTTGAACAGCCGGAGATGCGTTTGGGTGGAAAGGAGAAGCATCACGGGTTCCCATTTTGGAGAAAAAGTCCTCCTGTATAAGAGCACATTTGGTAGTTTAAACAGACGCTGTTGCTCATGGCTGTTCAGTTAACCGCTGAATCTGGGACAGATATTTTCAATCTCCACCTAGACTATAGAGTGCAACCTGTCGTAAGTAAACCTAGCTAGTCTTATCCACACCCAATCAATCTGATCTTAGACTGGTCTAATTCCTTCCACTGGGAGCATCTCCCTGGCACCATTAAGAAAGCTACTGCAATGCAGAATGCCAGGCTGCCTGCTTAATTGGCAGGATCACAGAATCACAGAATCACAGAATAGTAGGGGTTGGAAGGGACCTCTGTGGGTCATCTAGTCCAACCCCCCTGCCGAAGC